GCAGCAGTAGCAGTAGCAGTAGTAGTAGCCGTTGCCGTAGCCGTAGCCGTAGCCGTAGCCGTAGCCGTAGCCGTAGCCGTAGCCGTAGCCGTAGCAGTAGCAGTAGCAGTAGCAGTAGCAGTAGCAGTAGCTAGCAGTAGCAGCAGCAGTAGTTGTAGTCGTAGTGGTAGTAGTGGTGGTGGTAGTAGCAGTAGTGGCGGTAGTGGTAGTAGTACTACTACTGCTACCACCACTACCACTACATCAACCACGACCACTACCGCTACCGCTACCACTACCACATACTACCACTACCACTGCCACTGCCACTACTCCTCCTCCTTCTCCTGCTCCTACGTCTGGTGCTGTCCGCGCCTTGACCGCGCAGGAGCATGTTGCTGCTAGTGCTGCGACGAAGGTTGTCGATGTTGTCTGTTGTCTGATGCTCAGATACTGCCATCATGCCGTCTTCGGCTTTGGGCATTGCTTTCGATGTGGGCTTCGAATCTGTCCCTGCTTGGCTCGGGCCAGAAGTTGGTGGTGAAGTTTCATTGAGTTCTTCCATCTTTCTGCTTCATACTGCGCACATGCCTTCGTGCTCAAGCACCGCCAATCTTTCAAGCTGCAAGCGCGAGGCCTCGAAAGGAAGAGACAGCGGCTACAAGGAAGGGACTTCATGCTTAACCCAGCAAAGGACTATCCTTACAAGATGGTGGGGCCAACTGGCATTCGCAGTGTGGCAACATAGTACTTCACCCCGTAGCACAAGCTGCGGCCACCGCATCCGAAATGGCACGTTCCTACATAGCTCTTCACTCAGAAGGCCAATTCAGGCAGGATCCAGCCTCGAGAAGAGCAGAGACTAAAGTACAGCTGCAGCTGCGTCTGCAGCTGTCAGCAACCCTCACCGAGGCTCCCGAAGGCATGGATGAAGGTCATAGCTCAATTCTTGGCATGTTGACCCCTCGCAGAAGTTGAACCTTTTGGCTGGCTCACTGAAAGCAATCATTTGTAGATGCTCTCCCTGCGAGTCTCTCGACTTCTGCGAACTGCTTGCTGAAGCACAAGTCTCCCAGCCTGAGAAGCTCGCGATCGCCGATCTGTGCTGCTTGTGCATGCAGCTTGCGGTGAATGCGCTTTTGTATGTACCCGGTGCGCCCGAGCTCTTGGAAAAGCCGTTCCTGCTCATCCAGGTCGGCCCAAACTGCAGGGCTCGTCCGGCTCGCCTGCTTGGAGCCAGTAAAGGCAGTAAAGGTGCATCCCGTGCATGCCTGGAGGGAGTGAAGCGGAAAGTCCGCACGATGCTCGGCTCTTCTCGGAACCGGCAAGATGAGCGCATCCAGCTCAAGGACCTGCCTGTCTTGGGCTCTGTCGGAAGTCCGGAGGCTCTCACTGACAAGTACTTCCTCTTCCCCTCTTGGCGTTGCTTCAAGCAGGCTGGCGGAAGGAGGCTCGAGCGACCTCGGCGACTGGGGCGTGGGACGCGGCATGACGCGGCAATGGAAGGAAAAGCCAGCAAGTGCTCTCTTGCTCTACAGGATGTCTACCGGACTATGACACTATGCGACGAAGAATGGCAAGGCTCCAATGCCCTGCATGCACTTGCCACGCAGAAGCGCTTATACGTATAAACAGCCAGGATACATGAGAGACTCCACTGAAGCCATGGATGACTCTGAGGCTGATCGAAGTAGTACTGCCGGCTCGTCATCAGCTCCACACAGGCCCGCCAGTCTTTTCCAGCAAGATGGGCGGCAACCCAGCTCCGCGCCAGCGAGGAGATACGCTCTTGCTCGACTGCTCTCCCCGAGTTCGCAGAGCTCATGCAGTAAGGACTCCCAAAGAATCTGTGACGGCATTCCTTGCCCCTGGTGCATCCAATTCATCCACGTCTCGCTTTCTTGCAGAATGCACCGTGACCAGTGCTCGAGTTCATCTTGCTCAGCACGTGCAATAGCAGGGAGTTGACAATACTTTGCATCAACTGCCAACGAGACCTCCCGGTCGTTGCTCCAGCTTTGTCCAGACGGAGAGCTTGGCATACTGTTTGCAAGAGACTCCGGACATGTGCCTTCCGAGATGGAGTGCACTGCTCCAGGCTCACCAGGCTCTGAGACTGTCGCGTCCAGCTGGCTCCCTTGACAGGTCTGGCACATCGATATATGCATATACAAGTACATATATATGTGTATATATATATATATACACATACGTACATGCATATATATATATATATATTCTGATTATATGTCTAGATCTGAGAGCCTGGGCCCAATTCACAGAAGCACGATTTATGAATTTATGAAATCAAACGCTCGGGGGTCCTGCATGCCAATCAGCGTCATAGTCCAGACTCGTCGAACTCTCACACAGCGACGCACAGTCGCTTCCGATGTTGTACGTCTCGAAGCGTTCATGGGACCTGAGCCACGGCACGGCGACACATTACTTAAAAACAACTCAGCGAGAGTTCGAGCGCTCCTGGGTTCGGGGCTGCATCAGACTGCTGGTGCTCTCAGCATCATGGTCTCCGATGAAGAAGTGCACTGGTGAAGTGCTTCCTGGCTGTCGGCTTGAACTGGCTGCAAAGCGCTCAATACTCAGACAAACCAAAAAACCCTACACTCGGCATCGTTGCTTTGCTTCACATGTGGCTGGAAACCCTGCTCCATGCCTACAGCCGTGGTGGCCACACTTCCAGCTGCACTCGCAGTTTCTGCGCTGTGAGGAAGTTCGGCACCTGACAAGAAGCTTTAGGACTCTTCATGATTCTGGCCGGTGAGCCTGGATTCACCAAAAAACTTGTCGATTTCGGCAATGCACAACGGCCCGCGTCGGGCCGTGAATCAAGCTTTGACTCTTCGGCACTCGGTACAAAGCTGAAGGCGGCACTTTCCCAGCAGCCGTGTACATCAGCACGCCGATGCTGGTCAAGCAGCTCTCGAAATGCCTGCAATGGGCGCATTGCACATCGACATCTGACCGTCTAGCCGTCTAGCTACGGAGGTCGATCTCCAGTTTCGCCGAAGCAGGTCGACTCTGTTCGACTATGCCTCGTCAAACGAAGTTGGCCCCAGCAGCTCCTGACGAAGTGAGGCATTCTCCAGCCCAAGACTTCGGAAGAGCATGGGCAATTTTTTGGATCTCCTCCTCGTCCTTTTGCGGAAGCCAGTTCCATGTACCCGCGAAGCTCAGGTCCCTGTCTAACGGCTGCCACTTCATCGCCGGCCTCCAATCTACACATCGATTGGGAGGGCGGATCGTGGCGAGGCTTCGAGGCGTCGCGCGCACCGAGGCGCCAGCAGCCGCATCTTCCCGGCAAGGCCTGGCCTTGGCAGAAGCACAGCAGCCAAAATTGTATAATATTATAAAAAAAATTATAGCACTATATTCTATATACTCTTATATATCTGCGGTTGCAGGCTGCATCTTGCTGCCGCGTCTTTTTGCATCTAGCCTTTCTCTGCAATCTTCAGAAACATTTGTACATTTAAGAGCGGCGGGTGGTGCCGCCGCAGCTTGTTTTGGCAGTAATATCCACCACTGAAACAGCGCTTGTTGGTGTTTCTTCCGCCGTCTGCAAGGTAGCAATCATCCCAAGAGTCATGCCCCATGAAGAATCCTCAGCAAGCGAAGCATTGAAGCCTCTAGTACAGCCTGTGAACAACCGCAGCTCAGCGTCTGTTGCAGGACTGCCGCGCTCCGAAATGGTAAGCATCAAAAATACCACCAACGTTCAAGTCCTTGACAGGATTGAACCACTCTCACCAAGTGCCCAGTGTTGCGTGACTCTTTCGACCGGCGTCTTGAATACCTACGATCCTCACTTCCAGCGAAAGCACGAAACCCAAAATCAATAGAAACATCAGCAACACGATTATGTGAAAGAAAAACGCTGCAACACCCTTGCGATTGTGGCCTTGTAGCCGGTTTCCAAGTTTTGCGGCATCCTGTCACCAATGGCCTGGTAAGTGCCTCGGGATTGCTCAACAGTCAAACAGGCAAGCGCCGGTACTCTGACTAGCCTCACGCAGAAGCATGGTGGTAAACGCTCTCCCAGCAAGTTTGATCTGAAACACAGCTCACACCGTGGTGCACTCCTTGACTCTGCTGCATAGCTTGCGTACCCAACCAGCCGAATCAAGCATTGCTGCTCAGTCCGGCACTGTATCGACGAAAATCGAAGTTCCTTTTCGTGTCGGTGTAGTTCCGGTCTTTCACACGGAGGTAGTACGCCAGACTGGCTTCCTGCAGGAGGGGAGGAAGCCCCTAGTGCAATGATGATCCCTGCCGAGCGCTTGTCAAAAGGCCTTCGCCGTGACCTTGAAGATATTGTAGATATTCCCCGATGGCCCACGCAGCTTATTCGCCATCATGAGAGCATTGATCCTTAAACATGACTCTGCCGCCGAGCCCACTTCGCAAAAAGATGTCAGGACATGATGTCTGCCGGCAGATGCGAGCAACTTGCTTGACCGACCGGGGGCTGGCCTTCTCGCTTTCGTTCTCGTACGCTTTCTTTCTTTCGGCGGGCATGAGGAGAGGGTTGCCCCTCCCCCTTCGCTAGTGCGCACCGCTTTTTGGAGTGAATGGAACTGAGGGTCGTCTAGGCGCACTGCCCCGCACTGCCCCAACCTAGGGAGAGCGATGAAGAGGGAACAGCACAGCATAAGGAACATATCATTCTAAAAGTTCGTGTGCTCTTCACTTCACTTCACTTCGGGGTTCAGAGGGCGTGTCAAGCCCCCCGCGCCGAGAGGCGCGCCCCTGTTTAGAGGCTTTAA